ATCTGTCATTAATCTGCGTCACGTGCCCGCCTTGTGTTGCGGAGGTGGTGTGCGCATGCTTCTCGAGCGAGGTAACTGTGGCGTTCAAGAGCCGCGTGCCCGCATCCATCTCGCCCGCGCCGTCCCTGCGCCCGCCAGTTGAACCTGAACAAGATCAGGGACGCGCAGGTGATCATCGCCGCACCAGACAGTGCACCATTCCCTGTTGACGGCCAGGGGTTGCAGAAGGACGATGACGACAACGAATGGTTGTCGATACTTGCATGCATTGTGGGCCAAGCGCGCCGAGAGACCGAGGCGCTCGAGATATTTGTGATTGAGACCCAGCTAGAGCTAGCAGATGTCCCGCCTGGGCGGGCGGCCAGCCAAGCAGACGAAGTGATCGAATATCTGACTTCAGAGCTCGGGGATGGTTGGTGCGTTTGGCCATGGCTGCTGAGCTCGGAGCAGCTGGGGCTGCCCCAGGAGCGCACTAGGATGCACATCTGTGGTAGGAGGAACAAGCTGTTCAAGGATGGAGCGGACCATCCACCATGTTTGCGCCCAGAACAGTTCCGTTTGCCAAAGTTTCAGCTGGCAGATATGCTCGACAGGAGCCTCCCGAAGGTCCAGGTGACTGACCTGGATGATGCCATGCAGGCGAATTTAAGATCGTACAAGGATATTTGCATGCTCGAGTCTGCTGGCAACATTTATGTGCGTGATTTAAGCACGCCTCCCAAAGACTTGCCGAGGGCGAACATTTGCCCCGAGCTCACGCAAGACAACCATCACTTGTTTGTCTTTGAAAAGGGGACGCTGGATTTCACGGTCCATCGGTTCCTGTCGGCAGCAGAGAGGTTCATGATTCAAGGCTTCTCCCCCGAGGTTGCCACTAATTTTTCAGATGCCAGCTGTGCTGTCTCAGCCTCGGGCGCTGCGTGCTCGATGGTCTGCATTGGCCTCTCAGTGGCATGCTGCTTTACAGACCACCGCTAAGTGCCATTGCGACGTGCAGCGTCGCCGCGACTCGAGGGGGCGCTCTGTGCAACCGCCCATGTAGAGGAGATGAGGGCGACCATGCAGGGGGGGGGGGGTACCCACCTATATATATATATACACATACATACATACATACATACATACATACATACATACATATATACATATATACATACATACATACATACATACATACATACATACATGCAGGCATGCATGCATGCATACATACATACATACGTACATACATACATGCAAACATCGTATGCATACAAACACGTTTACAATTGTACGTACATGCTTATATACGTATACACCTATGTAGATACATTCATATTCATGGCTATGAAGGTTACGTCAACTCGCACACGTTCGGACATATATAAGTATACAAGGGCGCACGTACACATATGCGCATGTAAACCTACGTTTGCAACGCCTCCATGCACATGCATCGATACACATATATAGATACACGCATATCTGTATATGTATACAGATATGTATGTATTCTCACGTCGGTCCACGCATCGACTAAGACACCATGCGCCAAACTCAATACATGTGTGTATATATATACATTTGTAAGTGCATGCATATATGCTAGCACACAACGGCATATTAACACACCTACACATATGTAATGATACGGGATGCACGTGAGAGGGACGGATCGACATCTACGTATGGCGGGATACAGAAATATCGTGAGCGGGGGTCCCACAGAGGGGAACTAAGGAGAGCGAGAGCGAGAGAGAGAGAGAGAGAAAGCGAGACAATACTATCTACCAGAGAAAGAGAAACAGAGAGAGAGAGACACACACAGAGATATAGAGAGATACCTACAACGTAAAAAGAGCGAGCGAGACCTGAACAGAGTGAGGGAGGGAGAAACAAAGAGAGAGGGACAGACAGATAACCAGAGAGAGAGAGAGACAGAGACAGAGACAGAGAGAGATACAGAGAGAGAGAGAGAGAAATAAGAACGACGAAACGAATCAATAAAACTAGACAACAAAAATAAACTGATACGTCGGATACGCAACAACTGATGTCGGCGAATGCGACTTACAACAATGCGGTCTGGGGCTAGACGTCGAGCTAACATTAGAAATCAAATCCATGGCGACACATGGGGGTGGGAACGCACATGCATACGATCATACAGACACACACACACACACGTCGGCATTGCACTGGAAGCGGGGGGATACCGTTATATGACGCAATGTATTTAGATGAGGGCGATGGGCGCACTAATCAGATTGACGTGCTTCGACGAAGGCGCTGCGTTATATATGTTTCCCGCTCGCTGCCAGTCTTGCCTGACAGTCGTTCCAGGCGGAGTTGCGTTTATCCTGCTGTCCTCTATTCCTCCTGTCCTCCGCCCCTGCCTCCTGTCCTCCGCCCCCACCCTCCCCTCGCCCCATCCCCTGGCGCTCCCGCTCTCCTTCTCCTCCTGGTCCTTTTTCCTCGATCCATCTCCCCCTCACATTCCTTTCCCTCGCTGTCAGCGATGATATTCGACCGCTTGCGGGTGCTAATTCTGTCGTGCAGGAACTTGTCAAACACTGACCGCCTCCTCCTGGCCTATTTGTCCCTAGTGCCTTGGTGCGCGGTTCCGTCCATCGTCTCCAATCTTCCCTTCCTCGTTGTACGCACCTGCGTCTGTGCGCTGCTTATGATGCGTTGCAAGATGATGATGATGATGATAATGCTGATGCTGATGATGATGATGATGGTGATGATGAGGATGATGATGATGATGATGATGATGTTGCTGATGCCGGTTTCTCGCCTCCCCGTTTCTACTTACACTACGGCCAAGTTTCTACTTACACTACGGCCCAGTCGTCTCACAAATGCCAACCAACTAATTAGAAATCCCAGCCGCGATAAGAAGATACACGTGATCACCGACTGCGCAGTATAATTATACCATGGCGGATATGGTGGATTAGGGATGCGAGGCTAGTTCAACTAGCACGGAACAGCCCGCTGGCCATGATTGCCACAAACAACACCACATCGCACATTCCGTGTAGATTATAAAGATGCGAAAACCAAAGCTGCGCGCAAACAAATTCAAGCGCAAAAAAATTCAGAAAACGTTTTCTGAAAAAAACGCACGCACAGAAAATTTCATTTTTTTCTGAAAAAAAAAAAAAAAGACCTCTGGGTACTGCTGTCTGGCGGCGCTGTGACAGCCTGAATCCCATGCAAAGATTACGCTGGAAATGGGCGATCAGGTGGCCCTTGGCCTGCTCCTGGCTGGCGTCGGCCTCCGCTGGTGACCGATGGGTTCAGTGGGGTCTCGCTACGTATTCCTGGCATGGATCACATTGGGAGTGGGCTGTCAGGTGGCCCCTGGCCTGCTCCTGGCTGGTGTCGGCCTCCACTGGTGACCGAAAGGGTTCAGTGGGGCCTCGCGCGCTGCCGACTTCCACGTTGCTTGGACTTCGGCATGCGTGGCTCGGCGCGCCCATCGGCTGCTTTCTCTTGCAAGGACCTCGCTTTCGACGTGTGCCTTTGCTGTGCAAACAGGAGGCGCTGCCGTTTGCAGTCCTATCTGTGACGAGGTTGCCCCTCTTCACACTTGCGCTGACACGGTGCAGTTGCGTCGCCTACGGCACGGGCGTCGCCCGGGCGCGCCCGTCGGTCCTGCTCGTCTCTGACGGTGCCGTGTACCGACTCACACCGAGTGATTTATTTCTGCGCGTTTACGGTCGCGCCGCCGCGCCATTTTGGCTGCGCTTACTTGCTGGTCGCCACCGGGATTTCCACGCCACTGGGTGGGAGTTTCGTTTCTGGCTCTTCTTCTGAGTGGCTGCCCGCGCGCTCGCTTCGCTTGCCGCTTGCCTCTCTTCTCTTGCTGCCTAGTCGCGGCCCGGCTAGTGTTCGGGCGGCTGTCGACCAGCTTCGCGAGCCCGCATGCCAAAAAGGGCCCCCACCATCCCGTAGCCTCTGGCTCAAGCCCTGGTTCAGGTGCGCGCTCGGGCCGGGGCCATGTCCACTCGCGGCGCGGTCCTCTCCGCGGCCGCTCTGCGCCGCCGCCGGCGGCTGGCGGCGGCGCGGCGGGGCGCCCCGCCGGGGCTTGGCGGCCCTCCGCCGCCGCCGCTGCCGCCGCGCCGTCGGAGGCGGCCGGCGGCTGGCCCAGCGCGGCCCCCGCAGCGCCGGGCCGCTGCCGCCCTGGCTGCGGCGGTTTCTGCCGCCGCTGCCGCCGCGCTGCCGCTGTCGCTGCTGGCCCCCCCCGCCGGCGGCGGCGGCGGAGGGCGCGGTGGCCGGCGCCGCCGCGGCCGGCCCCGCGGCCGCCGGCGGCGCGGCCGCCGCCGCTGCAGGCTGCCGCCGCTGCCTGCCGCCGCCGGCTCCCTTCCGGCGGCGGCGGCGGCCGGCGGCGCCGTGCATGGTCGGTATGACGGCCGCTGACGCGGCCACCGCTGCTGCCGCCGCTGCCGCCGCCGCTGCCAGCCCCTCGCCGGCGGCGGCGGCGGCGGTTGGCGCGGCGGCCGGCGCCGCCGCGACGGAACGACGCCTGCCCCCCCGCCAGCCCCACGGACAGCCCGATCCCAGCTCCTCGGCCGGCCTGGCGACCAGCCCCGCGGCCAGCCCGAATGCCAGCCCCGTTGCCTGCCTGGCTGCCAGCCCCACCGCCCGCCTGACGGCCGGCCCGTTGGCCCGCCCCGTGGCCAGCCCGACTGCCGGCCGCGCGGCCAGTGGCCGTGGGGCCGGCAGTCGGGCTGAGCGCCGCGGCCTGCCCCCCACGGCCAGCCCGCTGGCTCGCCCGACTGACAACCCCCAGGCCAGTCCCACGGCCGGCCCGGCCAGCCCCATGGCCCGCCCTACGGCCAGCCCCGGGGCCAGCCCGATTGCCAGCCCTGCGGCCTGCCCCACGGCCAGCCCCACGGCCAGCCCGGCTGCCAGCCCCATGGACAGCCCCACGGCTTACCCAATTGCCAGCCAAACGGCCAGCCTGGCTGCCAGCCCCACGGTCAGCTCGACTGCCAGTATCACGGCCAGTCCTACGGCCAGCCTGGCCAGCCCCACGGCCAGCCCCGAGGCCAGCCCGAGTGCAGCCCCGCGGCCAGCCCCGCGGCCAGCCCAACGGCCAGCCCGACTGCCAGCCCCACGGCCAGCCCCACGGCCAACACGACTGGCAGCCCCGCGGCCAGCCCGACTGCCAGCCCCGCGGCCAGCCCGACTGCCAGCCCCACGGACAGTCCGACGGCCAGCCCTTCGGCCAGCCTGGCGACCAGCCCCGCGGCTAGCCCGAATGCCAGCCCCACTGCCTGGCCGGGTGCCAGCCCCACGGCCCGCTTGACGGCCAACCCGTTGGCCCGCCCCGTGGCCAGCCCGACTGCCAGTCCCGCGGGCAGCCCCACGGCCAGCCCCACGGCCAGCCCGACAGCCAGCCCGACGGCCAGCCCGATTGCCAGCCCCACGGCCAGTTCCACGGCCAGCCCCACGGCCAGACCCAGGGCAAGCCCGTTTGCCAGCCCCACGGCCAGCCCTACGGCCAACTGGACTGCCAGCCCCACGGCCAGCCTGACGGCCAGCCCGACTGCCAGCCCCACGGCTGGTCCCACGGCCAGCCCGACTTTCAGCCCCACGACCAGCCCCACGGCCTCCTCCACGACCAGGCCTACGGCCAGTCCCGCGGCCAGCCCGACTTGCAACCCTACGACCAGCCTCACGGCCATCCCCGCAGTCAGCCCGACCGACACCCCCTCGGTCAGCCCGACTGCCAGCCCCACGACCAGCTCTTTGGGTCAGCCCCACGGCCAACCCAATTGCCAGCCCCGCGACCAGTCCGACGGCCAGCCCGACCGCCAGCACAACGGCCTGCCCGACGGCCAGCCCGACAGCCAGCCCCACGGCCAGTCTCATGGCCAGCTCCACGACCAGCCCCACGGCCAGTCTGACGCCTCACCCGACACCGCTCCCGACGCCCAACCTGACGCCCTACCAACGTTCTACCTGAGGCCTTGCCCGACGCCCAACCCACGGCCAGCTCCTCGGCCAGCCCAACGGCCAACCCGACGGCCTGCCCGACAGTGAAGCCACCCTTCAGACGGCACTGAGAAGTTCCACCGCGCCCACGCGTCAGCCTTCCCCTGACGAGCGGGATAACGAAGCCATCCTGCAGCTGGCTTCGAGGAGCCCTTTTGCCTCTATTCGCCCCCCTTCTCCTGCCAGCGACTCGGCACGGGCGGGCGCCTCTGCGCGCAGCCACGGGGCAACCCCTGCATCCCTGCAAAGCGCGTCAGACCCCCCCCCTCTCGGGCGGGGACGTGAGCTCGACCGCCGAGACGGGCTGCCAGCCCAACCAGGGGGCATCCATGACGCGTCGGACGGGAAGTGGGTGAACGCCCAGGCTGTTCGCCGATCGCCAGCATCCAAGACCACGGGACCCCCACACTGGAAGGCCGCTTTATAGAGCCCAGGCCCACGACCCCCAGTGGGAACCCCGCGGAAAGTCACCAAACGAGACGATCAGACACCTCCAGGCCCCCCTGGAAGCGTCGGTCACAGCCGTCTGACACGCCTTTGCCGTTCAACACGCTGCCCCTGGCACCGCGCGCGGTCGACCCGCGTCGGCGCGATCAGCGCACCTGCGTCGCCTTCCTGACTTCAGTTCACAGCCACAGCTGCGATGTTGCCATGAGCGACTCATTGGGCCTGGGTATGGACTGGGCGCAGGCGCGTGGACAACACCTGGGACATCACGTCGGCGCGAACAGTGGGCGCCAGGCACCCCCGCGAGATGGTTGGGATCTCGCGGGCGCCGACACTGGCCGCGCGCAGTAGGGTGGGGGCCCCCTGGGCACGGCTGGGAATAGGAGCCGAGCCACCGAGGGCCCATGGACAGCAACGGTATCTTCAGGAAGCAACACCGAGTGCGAGGCACCACCCAGTTTCGCAGAGATGCGGTTTTGACACCACGCCGGGCATGTGGACTGGCAGCCCACCGTGATTCACCCTGTCAGCATCATCTCCTCGAGTATGTTTCTGCCCCCCCCCCCCCCTCCTCTCGCACCGTGTGCCTGGCATGCACTTCCTTCCCTCCACTCCTGCGTCCTAATGCTGCGGCGGTTAGCTGCCACGCCGGGGTGCCTACCGCGCCTGGCGCTGCATCCTTATGCCACAGCGGATAGCTGGTACACCCGCACCGCGTGCCTGGCGTGCACTTCTCCCCCTTCCCATCCTGCGTCCTGATGCTGCAACCGTGCCTGGCGTGCACTTCCCCTCCTCTCCTCCTGCATCCTTATGCCACAGCGGCCAGCTGTTGCACCGGGGTGCTCTCCCTCTTGTTTCAGGGTTCTTCCCTGGCGGCTGGGGTTTGCTGCCCAATACTGCCTCCTGATGACGTTCAGGTGGTTTGGAATTCATGCATGGGCTCACACAGGGAATGGTGCTGTGTCACATTTGCTGAGGTCAGGTGCCCCCTGGCCTGCTCCTGGCAGGTGTCGGCCCTTACTGATGACCGGAAGGTTCCAGTGGGTCTCTCGCTGCACTGCCTACCTCACGGTACTTGCACCTCGGGTTCGGCAAGTGTGGCTCTGTGCGCTCGTTGGCCGACGTTCTCCTACATGGACTTCGCTTTCGACAAGTGTCACAGGTTTTACTGCCGTTTGCAGTCGTGTCGGTGATGAGACTGCCCCTCTTCACTCTTGCGCCGACACGATGTGTTGGCATTTGTGTCGCCTACTTCACGGATGTCGTCTGGGTGTGCTTGTCGACCTAGTTCGTCTCTGACTGTGTTGTTTGTCTGACTCATGCCGAGCGATCGACCTCTGCGTGGTCATGGTCGCGCCGCCGCGCCATTTTGGCTGCGCTTACTTGCTGGTCGCCGCCGGTATTTCCACGCCACCGGGCTGGGAGTTTCGTTTCTGGCTTTCCTCCTGGGCGGCTGCCCGCGCGCTCTCTTCGCTTGCCTTTCTTTTCTTGCTGCCTAGTCGCGGCCCGACTAGTGTTCGGACGGCCTTCGACCCGCCCCGCGAGCCTGTTGACCAAGAAGTATCCCCACCAGCCCCTGTCCCCTGCGCCCAGTGGCATTCGTGGCGTCGTCGATGAGCCCGGTGAGGCACCCTGGCGCCCAGGCGACTTGCACGTCGATCAGCTCTGGCTAGAATGCTTGCGTGTTCCTGGGCCCTGGTCATCAGACACCGCCGCAGCCTGGCCGTGTCTCATACCGCTGCATCACTACGAAATTGCCTTACCCAAGAATTGAACCGCCAAGTAACATTTTATTTGATAGTTTGTAATTGTGCGGGCCATGGGGGAGTAGGCTGAGTGGACGGGCGCAGGGGCATTCCAATGTTCGACCCAAACGACAATACGATAATGATACACATGCCCAGCATGCGTAGCCAGTTCGGAATCGGTTTCTGTCTCGCGCTGTCGGCCTTCGCCACGCTCCCAGCTACAGGCCACATGCATCGCCACCACTGGAACGTGGGTCGTGGAGCAGGGCAAGAGTTGGGAAAGGCGATTCAGGGATGGACAAATCCCACCCGCCCTCAATGTCACGGAATCTGCGCCGCAGGTTCTGACTTTCAAGTGGCGGCGCCCGCCGACAAACAGTATGCAGCGCCACCGCGACGGACGCGATCGCCCACCCTGCAATCACAGGTGGTGCGACCAGGAAATTTGGCCCACTCACGCGGCGAGGGCGTCCCAAGCCATAAGACGTCAAGCAATCAACCATTCCGGGCATCCTTGGCCGCTGCCTCGGCCGTCCACGGGTGCCCTTGGCGGCGCATTCATCCTTGCCGCATGGGGTCGAAGCCCGTTGCGCGGCCGCGTCGCAAGGATGGGGGGGGGCAAGGGCGCCCTTGGGGATCCCTCCGCACCCTTGCCAATGTTATCGTTTAGGCGGGCGCGTCCCCGCGCATTTCTCGCCGCGCAATGTAGTTGCGCGGTCCCTTTGGAATCCTTGCAGATTATTCGGCCGCCGCCGTCTCCCCGATATTGGATCTGTTGCGACCTGGCAGCGGTGCATGTTAATGTCCCCATTCCCCCTTCTTTGCCTCCCACCCCCTCCTCCGCGGGAGCTTGTCACCCGCTGCTGTTCTGAGGCCCCCTCGGCCCATGATGGCGTGCACATTCAAGAATGCACCGGCGGCTTTCCTCAAGCGGCTTCCGCGGCGACACGTGTCACCCGCTGTTATGCTGAGGCGTCCTTGGCTCATGTTGGCGCCCAGAACTAACCGCTTGCGCTTGGTTTTCCTCGCGCGGTTTCCGCGGCGGCACGTGTCGCCCGTTGATCCTCTGAGGCTTCCATGGCTCACGCTTGCGTCCAGGATCAAAAATGCACCGTTGGCTTTCTTCGCGCGGTTTCCGCGGTGACGCGTGTCGCGAGCTGCCTTTCTAAGGCTTCCTTGGTTCACGTTGGCGCCCAGTCAAAAATGCACCATTGGTTTTTCTCGAGGAGCCTCTGTGGCACGCGTCACCCAGACGGCCGCGTTCAGTTCGTCATTCGACGCCGCGCCTGCCTGTCATGTTTTCTTCTTCCGTGACACTTTTCCACGTTCGTCGGCCGCGTGCTAGAGAATGAACAGTTTTTCAGCAAGTAAGCTTTGTCTCTTTCATGTTCCGCGCGCCCCCCTTCCCCCAACGAGCAGCTCACCAGAAGAGATCTTAGAACACATTGCGCGCGCATGCTTTCCACGCTGCGCTGCCCCAGCCCGCGTCGCACTCAACGGGCCCCTGCCCTTCATTTACGTTGGAGGCACGATGTTCTATTTCATCCAGCTTTATTTAGATACTACGCTGGCTTCGCTTATTCATTATTTACAACCATGATGATCTACTCTGCACCGCCGTGCCTTACCGCGCCCTTTTCCAACCCCTACTCCTACACATGCTGTGAGCAAGCTCAACAGCATCTCTGCAACTATCCTGCGCCGTGCGATTCGTAGCATTAGCGCGGTCCGCAAACCTACCCCGAAGCCTATCCCACGTCGCCCTGGCATGTTCAGACGCCAACCAGACGCCATCCACATGCAACGGCGGTGTAGAGGGCGGCGTGGCCGAGTTCGACGCGGGCGTCTCCTCAGGGTTCGACGCGTAGATATAGTAACACGCGCGGACGCCATGGCGGCGTCCACGACGCCAGTGTCACCGCGGTAGCACAGCGTTACTCAACGCGCAATCCGCATGCACAGACTACGTGCACGTGTCCTGCCCGATCTGTCCAATGCCGGCTTTCCCCATCATGATTTGCTCTACACGGGCTTTACAACTAACTACCACTCTTGTGTACCATGGCAATATACCTCGTTATCTTGTCCAATGTACAGCCAGCGCTGCTCTTCTTCATCTGCCGCGAGTGTTAAATCGTCGTTGTTATTTTGATGTGGGTCGCCATATGCTTTAATGCATTCATCCCACGCGACCTTTACGGCGCGCCTGCGCTGCGCAATTTTAGCCCCCCCCCCCCCCCCCGCCCCCCCCCCCCCCCCCCCCCACCCCACACACACACACACACAGCACACGCGCACACACACAGCACACACACACACACACCTCACACACACGCACCCAACACACACACACACACGCACACACCACACACACACACACACACACACACACACGCACGCACAACGCACGCACACACACACACACACACACCCACACACACGCACACACACACCACACACACGCACACACACACACACACACACGCCACCCCTCATCCCATCCCACCCCACTCCATCGCGACGCGCTCTGTTCGTGCCCCACCCCCCGCGTCCGCGCGCAACGCCCGTGCACAGCAGCGCCCGCGCGTTGCGTTCGTGCCGGAATGTCCACGCGCCACGTCGGTGCGCCACGCGCGTGCGCGACGCCTGCGCACAAGTCCCGTGCGCCGCATCCGCGCCACAACGGCGCGCCCTTCCCACGGTTCGTGGCCACGTATGGAATTGCACCCAAGGCCCCAGTGGCGACGCCTACATGCGTCCGCGCCACGCATCACGCCGCGCCCTCGAACGGACCGTGGCCCCATAGGGGGCTCCATTTGAGGCCACTTTGGCGACGTGGACATGCGTCCGCGCCACCCATTGCGGCGCGCCGCATCACGCGGCTCGCGGCCCCACATGGAGCTCCACTTAAAGCGCCCGCGGCGACGGTCGCACGCGCCTGGGCCACCCATCACGGCGCGCCCTCGCGCGGTTCGTGGCCCCAGAAGGATCTCCGCGAGAAGCTTCTGCGGCGACGCGCGCGCGCGCCTGGCCCAACCGTTGCG